TGTGAGCAGGTAGTGATTGTTACGTCATTGGTTTGTGTGAGAAAATTACGTCGTTTTCTCAAAAATTGATGACGTTACTCTCACAAACAACAGACGAAAAAAATCAATACCCTGCTCACAAGAGCAGATTACTCTGCAATACGAAAAGACGGAATTGGGAGAGTACATGTTATCTAGTAGGGAGATGGCATACTAACTAGTAGGAGGAGGTCATGTTAACTTGTACATGTAGAGAGAGGTCATAACAATAAGTAAGTAGAGGACGTGTTAACTAGTAGGAGGAGGACATTTTAACTAGGAGATCATATTAACTTGTGAAGGAAATAACTTGTTAAACGAAGAAAGTATGCTAACAAGCACAGGACTGGAACTGAGTGTGATTGGCCTACCTTTGTGACCAAACACGAGTTCGGGGTTGAGTGTGACAGGCGCCTTTGTAACAGGTGACGGGGTGATGGCTGGGCGGAACGTCACCGCAGGGCGGGACGTGACCTTTGGCCCGAGTGTTACCACTGGAAGGGGCGTGGTGAGGGGCGCCTGAGTAGTGGTGGTAGTTGTTGTCAGGTAGAAGCCCGGGTCTGGTATATGCTCAGGAATGGTAGGCAGAGGGGTGGTTGTGGTGCGACCCTGTTGAGCGTCGATGAGAGTTTGAGATATGGCGCTGGTCAACGGGTATCGCTTGATGGTGGCCTTACAGATATTGTTGAAATCATCGAGTGACAGCGACCACACCATTGCTCCTCCGAACCCTTCGCGGGCTATATAGCGTGCCTGTCCCAAACAAAAGTATCAGACAATACATGTAGATACATCTTTTTTAAAACTGTTTCCGTGTTTGTATTAGTTTAGAAGTTTATAAAGCATTTCAATCTTTTGAGATACATGTATATGTGCGTGTACACACCTTGTTTGCAACGCTTTCCGCGTCATCGTATCCGATCCAGACCTTGCCAACGACAAAATAGGGCACTTCTTGTTGATGGTCCCTGAACACCCTCCCGATGCCGAGCTCTTGTTGCAGGCAGATCTGTACAAATAGGAACAAAGTTGATACTGGTATAATAACACTTATGAAGTAAATTGCTCATTTATAATGACTATTGTATTATACTATATCAGACTAATTCCTACGAAAACATATCAATAAAACAATAAAATCAAGAATGCTTAATCTGCATTCCCACCATCTGATATACTGAACAACTACAAGACAATCACCAGGCTAACCAGAGATCGTGCTTAGTTGCAAATACTGACCTCATAGTACGATTGGAATCCGACCTCCTGAGTGTACATGCCCTTGGGGCCGGGTTTGGACACGGCTGCTGACAGCTGGTATTGTGAGGCGGGGTCAGCCAGTATGTACGATCGGCCGTACGTAGAGATACCGATATTGAGCTTGTCTCTGGGAGCTCCAGAGGCGTTCCAGTATTTCACCGCCCAATCCTGAAGCGACAGCAAATAATGTGAAAATGTCACCTACTGTAAAGCATGCGTTGTCATAGAATGTTAGGCTAGTTTTATTTAATGGTTAGATACATGTTTTACTAGTCTAGATCTTACAAGTTTTGGTATGCTAGGTACATAATATGGTAGCCATGCTGTCGCACTTGAATCAGTTGCTCTTGTTGCTGCATTGTCCACTTGTTTCGTCTCGTTTCAGTCAATCAGCAAGTGTTTCATACGATTGAAATTCCTACCTAAAACTTGTTCTGGTTACAGTGTATGTATTGACATGTGAATGAAATCTACCTATATTTAACGTTGGACAAATGTTTAGTTTGAGTTGATTTTGATATGTGATGGCGGATTTATATGGGGTCAAAAGCCGCTTCATTGGTTTGGCTAGTAAACTTCCGGTTGTCAGAAGTGGACGTCTGTAGCGCTCTTATATGCAATTTAACCTGCAAAAATGCCTTATAGTAAATGATTTAGGTGTATGAGTCTGAGCTAATGGGACAGATTAGATGATGCGGAGTAGAAAACATTACTCAGACTGACAGTATTCATCTTCCGTTGATAATCGTTTTCCTCGCGCCGTGGAAACAATGGGCTGTTGTGTCCAGTCGTCCGCTCCCACGCGCCATGGAAGTCGTACGTCATAATGTTGATGAAACTGAGGTGTCTGAAACATGAATTATCATTGTAAATTACCACACCGAGTAAGGTAGATTGGGTTGTATAGGAAGAGCAGCTGTTGAGGAACAAGACATATGATGTGGAAAGATATATACTCCAGCAATGCCGATAGGTACGTATTGGAGCAGACCCCAGCAACTTGTTAGAACAGACCCTTTGACGTTTTGGTCGTATTGGGATATCCCCATGTGATGTGTGAAAACAGGCTCGTCTGACGTCAGAAACGTATTCGGACAGACCTTTGTGATGTGAGAGGACAGACCTCTATGACGTCGGGGACGTATTCGGACAGACCTTTGTGATGTGCGAGAACATACCCCTATGACGTCGGGGACGTATTCGGACAGACCTTTGTGATGTGCGAGGACAGACCCCTATGACGTCGGGACGTATTCAGACAGACCTTTGTGATGTTCGAGGACAGACCTCCATGACGACGGGACGTATTCGGACAGACCTTTGTGATGTGGGAGGACAGTCCTCTATGACGTCGGGGACGTATTCGGACAGAACTTTGTCATGTGAGAGGACAGACCTCTATGACGTCGGGACGAATTCAGACAGACCTTTGTGATGTGCGAGGACAGACCTCCATGACGTCGGGACGTATTCGGACAGACCTTTGTGATGTGGGAGGACAGTCCTCTATGACGTCGGGGACGTATTCGGACAGACCCCTGTGATGTCTAAAAACACACTGTCTTGAGGGAGTGACAGAGAAATCTTAAACCTGAAGGGGGATATATTTCGTTGTCTTACCCGAGACTCTGTCGAAGGTTTAACAACCAAATAAGGACATTTTTCTGTTACATTATCAAGGTAGGGGATATATCATTATTCCCCCATCGTTACAATACTATGTTTAAAAACGATAATCCTCAGCATTTATAATCTGTTTTATTTTCCTGATGTGCAAGTGACATCTCCCATCAAAAGCTAATTAGGTCTATAACGTCATATCTTGTTGTTCTAATAACGTCATAGTATTGTTTCGTTATTCGTAAAATATGTCATACCCTAGGAGTGGCAGAGAAATCTTGAACAGATAAAACGGAAGACAATTCATTAAAAGGCAGGAGAAACAAATATGTACGTACTCCGCCAGAGCCGTGACGTTATAGCTGGCGTCGATGACTGTTGGACTAGCAGAGACGGCGGCGGACAGCAGCAGACACGGTTTACCCGATGATTTCGACTCTCTCTTGAAGGAGTCTCGCAGTTCCTGCAAATATAGGTCATGTGCTGAACTTCATATATACGATGGTACACATACATTAGGTACTCAGAAATAAAAGGCAATTACTCAATAAGCTACATAGATTTTGATGACCAACGGGTCTAACTGCAACATGTTTCACAGATAAACTGAATATTGCTTGTCGCTTATCAATTAAGACATTTGTTTAACTCACGTTAATGGATTACTCTATCAATACAGGAAAATCCACCCTTTTTTATAAGGTTCCACTTTACCAGTATTTCTAACTTTTTCAAAATGGAGCTCGACAAAAATGTCTTCCCTTAGATTGTAAATATTATAATTCTTCAAAGTTAAATACCGCGCAAATACAAACAGCTAGTCTGACCTCGAAACATATAACGACAACACTAAGACTATCCAGCAATCAAGGTTTGGTGGGTGCTATAAGGGGAACCATAGTGTCGAAAAATAAACGTATAACAATTTTAACGGATGTGACAGATATACCTGTAGAAGCAGGGAAAACCTTTGTTTGTCCTCAGATTTCCCTCCCCGGAGTGTGGGGTATTCCCAGTCGATGTCCAAACCATCGAAGCCGTGTTTCCTGAGAAAGGAAATGGCAGAAAGGGCAAACACACGGCGACTCATTGGCGTGGCCACCATATTGGAGAAGCCCTTACTTTCGGCGTTCCATCCTCCCACTGCTAGCAGCGTCTTCAACCCGGGACTTCGAGTCTTCAGGCCATTAAATAGCTGGTACCTGACAACATCGGCAGACTCAGTATTGTATTACATAGTACACGGTGAACCTTATTCTGTAATACAGGCAGTTTCCAGGCCATGCAATACAAAGCCATGTATTTCACACAGATAACACAAGAGGTTGTTTTGTCCAAGTAGCCAGATTTTTTAATTGGAACACAGCGGTTGTTGTCCAGTAATGGAACTGATGACTTAAAACAATAATGGATAAAAGTTCAGCGAGAGTTTACGCCATCGTATTTCCATGCCAGGCTTATTCCATCCTTGCCGTCGCCATTGTTGTTCGACCGAAAACTTTCGGAAAGCATATTGAATATTGGTATTTTTTTATTCATTTATGCAATATGGTATTATTGAACAAAATATGAATTTAATCGGAGACAATATTGAATTGTATACGGTTTTAAAGTATCAGTCGTTTCTTTCTTTATTTATACAATCAAACATAAGTGCATTTTGATAACTGCTAACGTCACGTTACTACAATTGGTACAATTTTGACAGTTTTTCGGTGATATTTAAAAATTCTGGATTGTTTCTTGATTCTTGACAAAGACTACCTATGGTGGTTCATTTTCAGGAAAAGTTCTAATTTTAAATAATTTGTTTTAGAAAGAACGCTAAACTTGCAGTGAGATTTCGTCCGTTTTCCGGCTGTGATTAGTAACCAAATTGGTATACCATATCACAGACTATGAAACTTGTTTTTATTTCTATTAGTTGATGTGCAGATTGCAACAAAATTTATTGCTATTGTATATTTACACTTTTATATAATCCGGTTATAAGGACCAGAAATCAACAATTAAACTTGCTTATATTCAACCCCTTCAAAATCCTCCAAAATTTCGTCGACGTACATCGTTTTTACTGGTTTTCTGATATGTTTATTTTGAAGTCATCGCGTACTCTTAAAATGTTTCTGAAAACAAAAACTATTCGGTGGAAATGCTGATAAATAATTATCACCTTTTTATACTGTCAAAGGAAAATGCTAAAGTTTGATTTTAAAGTACTATCCGAACTATTTTCTGACCGTGTACCAATTTCGGTAGTGTACAATGTACCAATTGTGGTAGCGTGAGGTTACACTGTTTTTTAGTCACTTTTAAAAGGGTTTTTTCTTCATCAGAAACTAGAAATGAGGACTGCCAGTTTTAGTGGCCCTGGGTTCAGCATCGAACAGTAATGTTCACTCAACACAGGAGGGCGTTTGTGCTTCTTCACCTTTTTACTATTTTTTTTGTAGAATAATTCAGTAAAACATCGCATAATAATACTGAGTTGCTCATATCTACCTCCTGGCATCCATGTACTTTTATCCCTAAGTTCTAGACACAATGTATATCTCGCCTGGATTATTTTTACATATAATATAAAATGTATGTGGAACATATAGGTGATAGACGTCATACCACACACGTGTTTTTCTGACGTTTCGGACTTCACTCGTTAATAACGCTTAACCCTTATAAAATATATCCAGAAGCGCAATGTATTTGATAAAAGCATTTGTAGTATCACAACTTCCTGGCATGACAGTAGATACATCAACTACTGTTTGTTGTAGTGTTGCGTCTCTCATTTTTGACATTGTTATATACAAAAAGGGGGAGACATATATCTGAGTCAATAAAAAAATGGCTACGTCACAACGCACTCACATCTCCAGGTCGTTGGGCTCGGACGGGGTGATCCTGGTGCCCTCTAGGTTGGCGAAGGCGTAGATAAGGTGGGTACAGAGGCTGGGATCGATGTCTGTAGGCGTGAACCGCGCTCTACCCTGCCGGTACTGAGACCAGTTAGTGTAGTAGCATATTCGCCGGAATTTTTTGTGTTCTAGGGACGAGAAAAAAATAATAAGGAACATACGAACATGAAGTTCCTATGTTATAGATCAAAAATTAATATAAGATATATATATCTTATGACTTTTGTCATGGTATATGGACAATATATGTTATATACCCTATATATGATCGTCTGTACGGTACTGAAGACCTTGTTACAGTGTTCGTCTGTACGGTACTGAAGACCTTGTCACAGTGCTCGTCTGTACGGTACTGAAGACCTTGTCACAGTGCTCGTCTGTACGGTACTGAAGACCTTGTCACAGTGCTCGTCTGTACGGTACTGAAGACCTTGTCACAGTGCTCGTCTGTACGGTACTGAAGACCTTGTCACAGTGCTCGTCTGTACGGTACTGAAGACCTTGTCACAGTGCTCGTCTGTACGGTACTGAAGACCTTGTCACAGTGCTCGTCTGTACGGTACTGAAGACCTTGTCACAGTGCTCGTCTGTAC